AAAATAATTACTGCAAACCTATGATAGGCCCACTCATTAAGTGGATAGTACAGCAAGCAGCATGGTCATACTTAGTCAAACAACAAACTAAAAGAGAGATAGAGAGAGAGAGCTATAGAGAGACACCACAACGTTGGAGTGGAGTGGAAAACTGCTAAGAAGAAAATAAACAAGTGGAAAATGCGTCACACTTGGCGGCATTTTGCATTTCCTTGTTGCACGATTGCATCATGTGACAATTAACATGCCACAAGTGCAAGTAGCAGCCATGATCATGGTGGCAGTATGGCAGCCAGAGTCTGCTTCTGTTTGACGGTGGGGCACTAAATTCGGTCCTAGCTTGGCTCTTCCAACCAATCAACATTAACAATTAAATGGACTTTCCCTCAATCTCCTTCCCACAGCGCACCGAGGAGCGATCCATCCAGCTGGCAGTGCGTGTGCACAAGACACTGGAATTGGCGGATGATAAGTTTTATGTGATTACCTGTGGCAAATCGGGCTACACTCGGTAAGTTTTTGAATGCCCAACCTGTCTAGACAATTGCACTTAAATCTCTGTGCCAAACGCTTGGACTGTAATTTTTTTGGTCAGGCTTCCGTCAGCCCAAAGTGCTCCAAGTTCTCCACTGATTTGCCAATTGCCAGCCAACTCGTTCTGCCAGTCGGCACACAACAAATGAAGTGGAATCAAAGAGCAAATTGTGCTGACTGGCCCATAGAACATGGAGTGTGGGGGGCATGTTGCATACTTTTACTCTCGCATGTAGGTGTTGGTTGCTCTTCGTCCACCATTTTTGCCATTGTTCGAATTTCTCCCTCTATATATGTAGAATTAGAACTCAAGGCCATTAAGCTCTTGCCCACAATAGGGGGGCTCTTTCACTCAATCACCTCTTTCGCGCAAAAGTTCCCAAAAAAAAAAAAAGGAAAAAACCAACAAATTTTTATTGTTTACTTAGCAGCAGTTCAATTAACGGTAAACGACTTGAGGGGGCAACGATAATCATCTTGAGGTGAATGAGAAACAATTTAATTTACCTTCTCGAGCCTCTTGCCTCATTTGCATAGTGCCAATGACTCTCCGCCCCTGCCCCTGCATAGCTCCGGCTTACGCAAGTCTCTCACTCAAATGGAATTCCAGCTGAGGTTTAGAAAAAAACCAGCGCTCAAGTCGGATATAAAAATGGCATCCAAAACGGTTTTTCCAAAACGTTGCGCTCTGTTAAGCCCATGGTACGACTACACAACGAGGAGGAATCAAAAGCAAAGAAATTGTTTACAAAAATCGTGCAAAACCATGCGGCTCGTGTACAAGGCAAACAACAAATAGTTATAGATGTAATTCGTATATATACGTATATGTACGTGTGTATATCTGGCCCACAAAGCAACTGTCTATAGCGCAATGACCGGCAATTGTTGCATAATTGTAGCATTGCAGAATTTGCAACTGAACTGCAGCCAGAGCTCAGAGCTTTTGGGTCTATTGGCTGCGCTTTTAATTAGCCACTGGCTCATAGAGTAATTAGTGAGCTGTCCCAGGCGTACCGCTAACAAAACCCTCCTCCCACTATGTATATTGCAGCGATGACAATGCCCATGTGGTGCTCAAGTTTCTGGAGAACGATCATCGGGTGCGTGAGACGGTCTACGGCCACGAGTACAAGATACGCGCCGAGTTCTCCAAGCCAAATGGTGGGTAGTGCCCGTGCCAGTGCTCTCCCTCGAGCCACTATTAACGCTCTGCCATATCATTACACCCATTTTCAGATACCTATGGCCTGCGTGTGGGCAACTGCTTTGCCTTTGACAAGAAGAACCGAACCCTCAAGCTCACCGACGATAGCGGGTAAGTTTCCGCTCAGCCAGTGTCTGAAAACAGTTAGTATCTGATCTAAATTTGCCCAAAAGCTGCCCCTACGATGCCACGATTATCAGTCGCTTTGTGCCCACTACGGATGGAAGAGCTGCCGAGGCGACTCTCACCTCAATGTTCAAGTTTCCCGAAGGTAGGACTCACCGGATCCCAAGGAACACCATGCTAACTTTCTCTCCCTATTTTTCGTTGTCTGGCAGGCTCTGAGGTGCATCTGCAGTGCGATGTGATCCAGTGCTATGGTCGCTGTGTGGAGATCGATGATTGCAATGATGTGGCCCTGGCTGGCTTCACCAAGGGCGGCAATACACCAAGGAAATTCGGTCCAAATGAGGAGGGCTCCAGCCTGGCCGGCACCACAGTCTTTGTTCTGGATCCCGCAGAGGCTAGATGTAAGTAGCAGCTTAAATTGGATCGAATTTTTGTATATCTATTGATTTATGTATATGTGTACAGTAATCTCGTCGAGCTGCGAGGATGGCATACGACCCAGTTGGCTGCTCTGGCTGACCATTACATTGGGTGTCCTATTCCTAATCATGCTGCTCATGAACATCTTCCTCTGCACGGCCATGAGCTGCAGTTGTGCCAACACAGAGGTCAGTTTTTCGCGCATTAAGTGTAGATAAATCATGGCTAATCGAACCGTTTGCAGATCATCGAGAAGGAGCCATCGATCATTGAGGAATACGATCCGTATCGCAGCTGGCACGGCAGTCAGTACGGCTCCCGTTATTCGCTGCATGGCCGGGATGCGCACAAGGGCTATACCAGTGGCGGCTCGACGATACACTCAAATAGGTCTGATAGATATTAAGCTGCCTCCACAAGCCAACACACAGATACACACGCATACATACACGTACATCTCTATTCTACACCTGCTCTGCTCTCACAAATTATTTTCTGGTAGCTGTGGAGCCCCAAAGCCAACAAACAAACAAACACACACACAGACACACACACACTACAGCATGCCTACAACAAAAGTATCTTGTATCTGCGTCTCTATGTATCGTATTTCGTTTGTACTCGTACTCGTGCTCGTATCTCTTGTTCTTGTTAACGTTAACCTCTGCTGAAGTGCCCGCCCTTCTGGACAGCAACCAACCAACACAATATGCTCGCAACAACACAACTTCTAGTGTTCACAAAACTACAACAAAATCAAATCAAAAACAGAGAGACAAAGAGAGAGAGAGAGAGAATGTTAAACCATTTCGTGCCTAGTATTGCAACTGTAATTAACCGATAGTAACTTGCATTTGTCCACCGACAATAACTAACACAACACAACACTCCAACTAAGTTTCCTGCTCCCACTTTTCTCAGAACAATAGAACGAAAACAATGCTCGTACGAAAACTAACCGTCAGTTTCAAGGAATTGCTAACTAATCCGTCTTGAAGATTTCTCTTGAACTATGTACTCGTATTTCTTCTCCTATGCAATTGAATTGTGTTGTATTAAATCCAAACTTATCCAACGTACTTCGAAGGTCAATGCCAATCGATAACGATAACGATTATGCAATTGTGCACTCGCGTCCCGGCTCTAGACATTCCACGTTACACGGACAGCGCGCCCATCGGGGACCGCCCAGTAATATCTGAATCTGAACCGATAAACCCAATTGATAAGAACGCGACCATAATGAAAGTAGTTCTGTAAGCTAGCCTAAGATTTCCCCGCTCCTCCCCACTATCTGGCGTCACAAATGTATATAACTAAAAGATTATAAGATGATTCTTCACCCTAAAAGTTTTTCCAAATTCCTAACGATAGAAATGATGATGCCGCTGTAAAATACTAAACTAAAAGGAAATACTAAACGTACCCTTGGCCTAATTTTAAAACAACTACTTAACATAAGTCATTAGTCTGTCATAAGTGCGAACGAATGTGTATTAGCGAAATGTTTCAACTACTTGTAAAAAAAAACAGAAGCAGGCAACATTAATTTAAAGTATACAAAACTACAGTATACATAGTCTAAAATGTTAAGAAAGCAAACCCAACCCGATCCTCCATTTGGAACACGCGTTAAACGTACGAATTGTAATTAATTTAAAATTAAAGCAATTAATTTAATAAAAACTAAAAAAACAAAAACGAAAATTATGCGACTGTTCTTTTAATTGGAGAATTCACTGCACATTGGTATAGAAATCCGAATCTATCTCTATTGGATCCGAAATATAAGAATCACAGATATCCGTGCAGTTAAGTTTTCTATTTTATAATCGGAAATACATAAATATTTATTTTACAAGCATAACAATTCCGAAATTAATAGTCACATTAAATTAGAAGGCACAATATTTAATAAATATTTAGTTCCCAAGCTTCGTCCAGAACTTCGCAAGGAGCAAATTGGTCTCTTTGGGAGAAAAGTATCCGGCATATCAGTGGAATTTCCGTATCTTGGAAGAACATAGTACAATAAAACTAAATACATATATGTATTTGATACTTACTGATTGGCGGAAAGGGAACATGTGCAATTTCATTAGCCAGGAACACAATTATAGAAAACAATTTTAGATCTTTAATATGTGTTTCCAGTTCCACCGCTAACCGGCCGACGGACTACGCCTGGTTTAGTGCTACAAACACACACCATTGAGTCGATGCTCTGATGCCATAAAGATGTGCCTAAAGGTATGCAACAGTTTATAAAACTAGATTTTTATTTTGTAGATCCAGGTGTTCATTCAGGTAGCCAGGTGGTTCATTCAGGTACTCGTTCACAAGAAATGATTGAGAGTATTTTCAATGTCGGTAACTAAAAATAATAATTTATGATTCTAAATACTCCATTTTAGTCTGCAAATTTACGTATTTTTGAATGATTAATTTTTGATTATCTTAAATGTGGAAACATACATATACATATGTACAGCTGTTTAAATTCATGTGAAGCGCCCGCCCGCAAGGCCGTCGATTCCCACCCTGTGCTCAGCTTATCTCCATTTGGCTCTCACAACGAGTTTCTGCCTCTCTCGGGTAGTTCCTCTCCGAGCAACACCGACAATTTGCACTCTTTTTCAATACAGCTGGCAGCGTCTCCGTGTATGATTTTCGCATGGCTTGGCTGTTGGTTCATTTCAAAACAGTCTGTCGTGGAGCGCGGAAGTGCTCGGAAAAAGAGAGTGGAACGCCAGACCAAAGCAGAGCCATAGTACGCGATTTTTGTTTGAATGACTGGCTGCAATTGTGTCTGTGTGTGTGCGGAAAGAACTTCGGCGGCAACGACAACGACAACTAAAACGTCAAAAACAACGTAAAAATAGTGAAGCATAAAGGCAAAGACCGAAGAAAAACCCACGAAGCAAAGCCAACCGCGTGCCCTGCCCGCCCAACTGTGTGCTTATGTGTATGTTGTGCATGTGTCTTCTTGTTGTGATTGTGTGTGAACAGTGGGAAGGGTTTTTGTTTTCTTACCTTCCGACCATACCCTACCTGAACAGGGCTAATGCATAAATCTATTCGGTTCTGCTGCTCTGCATTGCGTGCCGTAAGCCCCAGCAGCAACATGCACAAATAGAAGCATTCGCTTGTAAATGTAAGTGACCGTGATGCGATTTAATAACAATGCACGACCGGGAATAGCAGCTACGATTGGAAATACAGCAGCAACAACAACAACAACTCCACTAAAAACTACAACTATAAACTTTGTTTCCACCGCGTGACTAGAAAAAATTCAAAATCGATTGGATAGTGCCCAAAATGCGGCAGAAAAAAACAAAGACTGTCTATGGAACATTCCAAATGCCCTTTGTTTAGAAATCATATATGTACAAGAAAGCTACACACATAACTCTGTCGGAACAGCTTCCATGGCTCCAGATATCTCCCTTGAAAGCAAAGCAAAGAAAAGATAATTTCGCAATTGAAGCAAGTATTTTTTATTACAAAAGTACCGCGACTGTGAACACCCATGAATGAAGAAGAACGTTTTAAATTCCTGTACATTGTACTGATGTAAAACTGTTAAGGGAGTTTAAATGCTTTCAATGTATTTGTGCTTAAGCATACGATGCGACTTTCATGGAGAGTGTCCAACCAGAAGAACTTTCACTGTACATAGGATATCATATATGTACATTAGTATGTGCATGTCTGTGCATGTACATATGTATGTATGTATGTTTTGCTTTATGACTCATCATTGTTTTGGCAATTGCAATCTCTCTACGCAAATTACTTGGGCCACCGAAATATGGCTATTAATAAACCTCTTAGATATGAAAACTGTTGAGACGCCCAAAAACAAATTTATCAAAATAAAAATATATTAATTATTTTCTACCTTAACCTGTCCCTCAAACGAAACACACTCTTCTGCAGATTGTACTTTGAATTTTTAAGCATTCAAAAAAATGCACTGTTCTCATTGAGCATTATTTAAATTTAAATTTAGCCACGCGCCTTTCTGGCCCACTGACAGCTCTCTAGAGACGCCAGAAATACTCGAACTCGCTGAAAATGTCATTAACCTCGGCCATTTGAACTCGAATGTTGTCGTTAGATTCGATTCACTGTAAAGAATATTGAGCATTATGCAAATACGAAAGATAAAGCCAATGACATTGCCTGCTCATATCGGCATGCATTCACTGACCGAATTTTTCCGTCTTTATAGGTCAACAATGTTGTCGTTGCTCTGTTTGTTCGTCAAATATTGTCGCATGCAGCGAAATGCATCATGAGTACTCGAGTACTACTATAAACATACGCCGCTAAGAGGTCAGTTCTCTGGAGGAATGCGCATTGATAACTGCGTGCAATAAACAATTGGAAAGCGTATGTGACAAAGAAGACAATGGGTTGTATATCACTTCGAGTGGCACTTTCGTTTAGTGAGCGCATTCGATTGAGGGCTACCCTGCCTGCACTCAAGACGGGATTCAATATGGTTCCGTCTGGAGGTGCTCGTTGTAAAGATTTGGAATATCAGAATTTGGAAACAAGAAACCAATGAATAATTATCCTCCTTTGTTGATTTTGGCAGTCATTTATTTACTGCGGATTCATTTTACATACAAATCAACAATTCGCTTTATACATACATACATATGTACATATGTAACTATACATATTCCAGTCGAAAGTCTCGTTCTTATCGCGCTCTCTGTTTGTTTATCCAATTACAAACACGCTCTCAGGCAGCTGCCACTCGAGCACCAGCTTAAACCAAGGGAACTAACTATGTATAAGAAACTCTCAGATTCATTTCACAAAACCCCTGGTACTATGAGTTAACTAATTGTTCTGTCCAATATATATGAGCCATGGCCTAATACAGAAAGCCAAACAAACAGAACCTACATACATATACATATGTACAATATGCGATCATTTTTTAAACTCTACCTTGCACAAGGCCTACCTATAAAATGATGTCATGTTCTTCCCATTAAATGCGGGGATCACATGGCAGAGAGCTGCTCTTATATATGCATGTACATGTGTACATATGTATGTATATGGCATATATGTAGTATGAGCTTGAAGCCCAGTTCGTGGTGTGATTTCTGATCATTAGCTGGCGGCTGGTTCGCAGAAATTCTCGCATTTTTCGTAGTCTCTCTTTTATGACGGAAATTCATTCATACATATATATGTATGTACAGCGTTTACCAACAAATGAGCTCATCTGAACTCGATTATCATTACATATTATTTTTTCTCGTCTTACGAGTAGGTTATATACATATACCAAACATCAATAAATGCCATTCAATGTAGAACTTTATGTTTGTCTGGCTAATTGGCATCTAATCGCTGGAGAGTGACCCCATGGACACCTCTCCAAATCAAATGGAGACACCGCCTCGCATGAGGCTGTGGCTCTGTCATCGCCCACACGCAATACTTGAGCGAGCTCTGACGTTTTTCCACCCATTTAAACTCGCATCGGTATAAAAGATAAACTTGTACATACATACATACATTCACAGTCATTCCTACATTCATATAAATTGCAGCAATTAATATAATCAGACCCACACTGTGACATTTCTCTTAAATGTTAAATGCATTTCAATTGTAATCCGCATTGTAGGTTTCCCTTCTTACTTGTTTCATTTCATTGCATGTCTAACTGTGAAAAATATATCGATTTTAAAATTATAAATTGCATTATAGTTGCAGTGGCAGTGGCTATTGTTGTTGTTGTTGTTATTTTTGTTGTTCCGGTCATGACTGCGATTCCTGGTATAGTTACTCACATCTAGCCTTACATAACGCTAAGGTCTATCTCTCTGTCTTTATTTAACAAGAAAAAAATTGCGCTTATCTCATTTTACTTTAGGAAACAATTTTGACAAAAAAAAACAGTGATGTCTGGGACGCGATAAGAGAGAGTCAGCATCGAGGGACTACAACCGTACAATCTCAGCTATAATAAAGAACTGCAAAATATATAGTAAAGGAATAAAAAAAGAGTGCTAAAATGACAATTACCTATACGGGTGAAGTGGCCACTTGTCGCGGCTTTGGCTGTTTTCTCAAATTGTTGCTCAGGTGAGTGAAGTTGAAGTCTTATATACATTGTTCACACGAAGTAGGCAAGCCCTTGAGCATATATATATATATATATGCATATATAGATAGACATTGCGAAATTTTTAGATGGCTGTTAATTATAGAGCACTGACACAGTTCAGAGAATTGGTGGGGCTAACGATAACCCCCCAGAGCCACCCAGAGGGGCAGTGGCAGTCCGAACAATTGCGGCAAATGTAAATTACACTTGTAGAACTTTTCCACTTTCTTTCATGATGCAAACTGCACTAAAATTGCTGTTCACCCTCCTCCACTACTGTTGCTGTGCCTCCCACAATCACCCCTATCAGAGTGGGTAGTAATCTGAACCTTGTGTAGTCATATGTCTGACATCTGTCATGGCTTGTTGTGTGAATTATAATTTAATAATAAAGACCAACTCGTGGAGTGGCTTTTCCCCATATCCTGCTTCTGCACGTATGTAGCTGATAACGCATAATTATAGCGATTATTGCGTATGATAGGTCAATCAATGGAGCGTTTGATGATCTAATAAATGCGGTATCAATGTTTATGTACATCCCCACCTGAGACGGAATCTCCCAATACGAGTGTGAATCAGTTTCGCTTAGCCTAAAAGTTTCCAAAAACCATATAAATTTTGTTTTTGCCACCAGCTGCTTGCCCGATTAAAGGGTGACCGTTCTTGGCCATTCCCCGTTGCCATAAGATATCGTACGAGTCTTTACTTATTATATCACGCATTATTCGACTGATAAGCTGTGCAAATATCGTGTAGGTTGACGCGCATATTTTGGGAGGCAATGTTTACATTTTGAGTTCCAGCCAAATGTATTTTATGACGTTTTACTGTCAACAACAAGTGGCCAATGTTATCGGCCCATATCTGAGGACTAACATTGGCCATGACGTAGCCAAATTATAGGAGTTCCAGTCGCGGCAAATGTCTCATCCTTAGACAATTTGACGCTGGCAAACGGAAGAGGATAATCAGATTGGAAGTGCCATCAATTGAGAAGCCGTATCGTTACTGTGGCAATCGATTCCGACTGGCTGATAAGGGCCAATATGCGGCTATATGCTGATTAGCTGGACGTGTTCAGTCTATTTATAAAGGCTGACGTATAGTAAGACGAGTGGCATGCCAATTCAACTTTATGATCCTTTCGTTTGCAGATGGCGCGGAAGCATTTACAAGCTGGTCTGGCTGGATCTGTTGGCCTTCCTCACCATCTATTATGTTATAAATATGGTATATCGGTTCGGTCTCAATCCCTCCCAGAAGGAGTGAGTACATCAACTACATATTTGTATATATCTTTCACACATTATCTAATGGTTGATCCACTTGCAGAACCTTCGAGGCCATCGTTCAGTACTGCGATAGTTATAGTGATCTCATTCCCCTGTCCTTCGTTCTGGGCTTCTATGTGTCCATTGTGATGACCCGCTGGTGGAACCAGTACACCTCGATACCCTGGCCCGATCCCATCGCCGTCTTTGTCAGCTCCAATGTGCACGGCCAGGACGAGCGCGGACGCATGATGAGGCGCACAATCATGCGATACGCGTGCCTTTGCCTCACCATGGTGCTGGCGAATGTGTCGCCGCGTGTGAAGAAGCGTTTCCCGGGCCTGAACAATCTGGTGGAGGCTGGTCTGCTCAACGACAATGAGCGCACCATCATCGAGGCCATGAACAAGTCCTTTCCGCGACCCTCCAAGCACTGGCTGCCCATTGTCTGGGCCGCCAGCATTATCACCCGCGCCCGGAAGGAGGGACGCATCCGTGATGACTTTGCCGTGAAGACGATCATCGATGAGCTGAACAAGTTCCGGGGCCAGTGTGGGCTCCTGATCAGCTACGATACGATCAGTGTGCCCCTGGTCTACACCCAGGTGGTCACCCTGGCCGTGTACTCGTATTTTCTCACCTGCTGCATGGGACAGCAGTGGATCGATGGGAAGGTGGTGGGCAACACCAGCTACCTGAACAAGGTGGATCTGTACTTCCCGGTCTTCACCACGCTGCAGTTCTTCTTCTACATGGGCTGGCTGAAGGTGGCCGAGTCCCTGATCAATCCCTTTGGCGAGGATGATGATGATTTTGAGGTAAATAGAAATGGTAGCCCATCCAAAGGCCCCCGCTTTAACCTTGATATATTTATTTAAGGTGAACTGGATGGTTGATCGCAATCTGCAGGTGTCCTATCTGATTGTCGACGAGATGCATCACGACCATCCCGAATTGCTCAAGGATCAGTACTGGGACGAGGTCTTCCCCAACGAGCTGCCCTACACCATAGCCGCGGAGCGTTTCCGCGAGAATCACCCAGAGGCGTCCACGGCCAAGATCGAGGTGCCCAAGAGTGCGGCCATGCCCTCAGCGATGTCCTCCGTGCGCATCGATGAAATGGTTGGTAATGATAATGGCGCTCCCACTGTGGCCGGTGCCACAACAGCCCAAGCGGTGGTCACACTGCCGTCTGTCGCCGAGCAGGCGGAGGGCGTGCCCCAGCAGACAGTGACCTATGACTTTCCCAAGGGCTCGCAAGATGAGGAGGTTAGAATCAGAACGTTGGCAGCATTTTCTAGCGTTACGAAGCATTGGCACCACTCGCCCAATTGGTTATCAGAAAAACAATTCGTTCATCTGTCCATGTGACCAGCGTCAAAATCAACCAAAAACAAAAACAAAACCTAATCAAAATCAAAAGTTTCTAACCTCCTATTCGCTCATTTTGGGATCACACTCCACTCATTGGCATTCAGAATCACAACGGTGCTTGGTAGTTATATACAAAAATAATTATAATAATAAAATATAAACGGATGTGTGACAAGTGTTTAAATTTAAGCAGATCATGCACTGTGTGACGCGTACCTACGTAGCTCTGGAGTTCAGAACAACAACAAATAAGATTATTTTGATCTCTGAGTTACTCAATATTCAATATACTGTAATTTATAAGTCCATATTTATCTATGGAACAAATATTGTAATCTCTCTAACCAATAACAATACTTCTTCCGCGTATACACAGTGCTTGATTTTTGCCTAACTTTAAGCTTAGATGGTGTTTGTGTCTCCTTAGGCCCTAAGACTATGCATACTAACTTTTGATTCTAACTATCTAAACAATCTGCCTACAGCCTAAAGCCTCTAACAGCACCACGCACTGCACGACTTTCAAACGCTTTCAACTGCACCAAAGTAAAACTTTACCGCACTGAATGGTGTCAAGTAACCCGGCAACACAGCAAATTTTCACGGTCTTTGGTGTGCCCGTATTAATGTTACAATTCTCTCCTGCAGGCCGATGATGCCAGCGGAATTCACTTCTCGGCTGGCAATGGAAAAATGCGTTTGGGCTCGTCCCCCTCGCTGGTCAGTGTGTCGGGGACGTTGTCGCGCGTGAATACCGTAGCCTCGGCCCTCAAGAGGTTCCTCAGTCGGGACGACAGTCGCCCAGGATCGGCGACGCCTAGCGATGATCAGAAACCGTACAGGTTCCCGGCCAGCGCCAGTTCGGCCAGTCTCACGGCTGGAAACGTGGGATCGGCCACATCCGCTGGCAAGCCAGCTGGAAGCTTGCGCATCACCCAACAGGTCATCGAGGAGGTGGACGAGCAGGCCACCATCACCTCCATGCGCGCCAACGAGCCGCGACCCAATGTCATGAATATCTTTGCTCCAGGAACGGCCGGAGGAGTCTCTGCACCACTGCAGCCACCTCCTACGTATTCAGAACCCGTGGACATTCCGACACGTCCGCTGGAGTACAATCGCGCCCAGTCTCAGTACGAGCCCAGCCTATTCCCGCCCGGTGGAGTGGATGCTCTGCTGAGCACGTCGGCTCCAGCCGGAGGCAGTCCCTCGCTGTTGTCGAACGCCGCCACGGCCCCCAGCTCCCCAGTGGGGGACAGCACCAAGTCGCTGTATGACCCGCAGAAGGCTGTCAGCCGCGAGACGGGTAAGTGTGGTGTTCCGGCCCCAAACCAGATGCTGGATGGGGAGGGGAACGGTGCCTTGATCGCGTTCCCTGGCTTCTTAAACTCATATTTAACATTTGTGTATCTTCATTTTCCAATCAATTCGCGAATTATAAAGAGAGACCCGATGCACCGCAGGTTTTCAGGTGGTTCATCACGAACGGTAATGTTCATCCTCCATTGGCCATAATAACTTGTTCGATTCCTTTAGCTTGCTCTGCGTAATCGTTGCTGGTTTTCAATATTTTTAATTGTTCTTCTTATTTTTAATAGTTACTTTTTTTTTGTAATTTTTGTATTATTTTTTTAAAATAGTTTTTGTAACAATTGGCATGTGTTTGTGAGACCGCTGCCCACATTTTGAGTACTAACCCAAGCTTAGCTCTGTCTCCCCGAATTATTGTATCCTCCGTAAGATCACGGCCAGCTTTATTGGGCTACCGAGTAGGTAGCTGTCAGTCATACCGTAATTCCAAATTCATTTTGCCTTAGTCCTAGCCCTATTTATAATCGTTGCACGTATTCCTTGACTTCTTCCCCCACATTCATACCAAAATAACCCGACTGATGTAATGTATTCCCGTATGTGTTTGCAGTGGAGAACATGGACCTCAAGTCATCCAGTGATATGCTGGCCAGTGGTACCGCTGTTGAGCCCGAGGACGATGGCGATGACTTCGAGAAGCTGAAGGCCGCCCGCGAAAAGGAGAAACTGGTGCGACAGCAAAAGAATCTGGCCCGCACCATCAGCACCGCGCCGGGAGTGGATGCCGCGGCTGTGGCCGTTTCCATGGCCGCCCAAGCGAATGCCGTACTAACGGCCGTGGCATCAAGTGCTGATCTCCTCGCTGGCGGGGATCTTGTGCCCAGCTCCACGATGAAGTCGGAGAATGCCACCAATGGCAGCTGAAGCGACGCCCAGTAGTATTCTGTTGTACAATTCTTGTGTCGTACAATTACGTAGCCTAAGTCTAGTGCATTATTTAATTTACCTAAGCTGCTAAGCTTAACGCCGATCAACTTAATATTCTACAGATTAAGAATGCTCATAACGTCTAAACGAGCTTGAGCGAGGATGGACCTAATTAACGCTGTTGATAACACACAAATACTAAACGCTAAGTAGAAAGTTATTTGAATTTTTACAAATATAAGCTATTTTTGTAAAAGAAATACGTTTGTGTTTTTTTTTCGTATTTAAAATGGCGTTGGGGAATTGTAATGGTAAGTTATCAGACTGGGATCCTTCTAATAGCCTTTTTACACTGGGCGCGTCTGCTATCGATATCGGCATAGACGCAATGAAGCAGAAAAGGCGTTTACATTGGAAGACGTGCGTCTTGAATTTGGATTTGGGTGTTTGATGACAAGGAAAGATACACAAATTTTTGAAAATCAACAGAATTAAGCAAGACGTCAGGAAAATGGACGAAAAAGAATTGATTCTCATATTTAAATATTATTTTCAGACATTTCATTGTAGAGTTTGTGGGAGTTCTTCTTCAAATTATGAAAACCACCGAAGTTCGTCTCCAGCAGTGTCTTAATGGCATCAGGGGGTCAGAAAAATTTCATATGATAATAATACAATCAGTTTCAAGTATTTTATTTAATGACTTTATGTATATTTTCACCTTTTTGCACAATCATACATTTTTAGCGCCAAAATTTGATTTTTGATCTACAATTTTTTGTTGTTATTAGTGGTGATAGTTGCGCTGATAGGCAGAAAATACCAAAAATGAGCAAAATCAATCGAATATACCGAATAGACGCACATGAATCAGACACTGACGCAACTTTTTGCCACCACTAGGGCCCTATGCTTAACCTATGTAAAAAAAACTGCGTCTGCGGCAAGACGCAAAGAAGCATGACGCAGCACCAGTGTAAACGGCCTATAACTTTTATGAGAATATAATAAAAAAATTTGGTAAAAAAACATAGTAATTTGTTTCTAATTTGCTTTTACTCAGCTGTTCATAGGTTTTCGTGCAGTTGCAATCATTTTTGCATCAAGTCGTCTAGAAGCAGCCCTTAATGGGTTAAATTTGATATGTGATTTGTGAATGCACCGTTTCATATATGCATATTATTTAATATATACAACTAAAAATCCAAGTTTTAATCTCTGTAATCATTGAAATATGAAATTTTTTAATTAATTTAAAAACATCGATGTTTGAGAAAAATCATCGATATCTGCACTCAAACAGCTCGCCAGCTCTAGTTTTTGTTGTAAACAAACTTGCGAAAAGGTTTAAAGTTCAAAAATGAAGGTTGAAGATTTGGACAAGTGTGCTCCGAGCTCTGACTGGAATGTGCTCTACTGGGTGCTGGGTACCATTTTAATGCCCGTGGCCCTGCCTCTGGCACTCTTCAATATATGGCAGCGGTTCCGTGCCCAAAAATATCGTAATCAGTTGCCGGGCAAGGTAATGACTAATTTTGATAATTTCATGCGATTCCTTTCTTATGTAAAACCATTCCCTTCCTTGCAGGTAGTGCTCATTACGGGCGCCAGCTCGGGCGTGGGCGAGGCATTGGCTCATGTGTTCTACAGCGCAGGCTGCAAAGTGATTTTAGCAGCACGGCGCACCATGGAACTGGAGCGCGTTAAAAAGGATCTCTTGGCACTGGACCTGGTAATGTGTAGAGCTGTCAATATTAAAAAAAACCTACTAACAAATTACTGAACATAGGAACCTGCATATCCACCGACGGTGCTTGGTCTGGATCTGGCGGAGCTCAACACCATACCGGACTTTGTGACGCGCGTCCTGGGTGTGTACAACCAAGTGGACATTCTGATCAACAATGGCGGCATCAGTGTGCGGGCCGATGTGGCCTCTACGGCAGTGGATGTGGATCTCAAGATAATGGTGGTCAACTATTTTGGCAGCGTTGCTTTAACCAAGGGTAAATAGTTTTACAACTGCTAACAAAAGCAACAATAACTCCGGGCTTTTTACTTTGCAGCTCTTCTCCCATCCATGATGAAACGCAAGAGTGGTCACATCTGTTTCATTAGCTCGGTTCAGGGAAAGTTTGCCATACCCCAGAGAGCTGCTTATTCCGCGTCCAAGCATGCCATGCAGGCCTTTGCCGACTCCCTGCGTGCCGAGGTGGCTAGCAAGAATATCAACGTGTCCACCGTCAGTCCCGGCTACGTACGCACTCAACTCTCATTGAACGCTCTCACAGGATCGGGTAAAAGCTATGGCAGTAAGTCAACACAGTGTATATGTCCAGCAAGTATTCAATGTTTTTCTTTTCAGAAATGGACGACTCTACAGCCAAGGGTATGTCGCCTGATAAGTTGGCTGAACGCATTCTGAAGTCCATTCTGCGCAACGAGCCCGACATTATGGTTAGCGATATTCAGGCCAAGATCGCCTATTACCTGCGACATCTGTGCCCCAGTCTGTTCTTTTGGGTAATGGCTAGGCGTGCATTAAAATTGGAAAAGGCCGAAAAAAAGACGGGCTAAATATATGGCACAATGAATGTGAAAACTATTTATGTTTAAGTATTAGTTTCGTTTTTATTGTTAATTGAATTTCACTTAAAATGATGAAATTATAAAGTATCGCATATGTGTGTGTGTGTTGTGAGGGTTAAAAATTAGTGTTGTTTTTCTTTTTGTTGTTTGCTCGTGCTATTGTCTAAGATTAATAAATAAAATATTGTAGTAATAATAGTAATCGTTAAATAAAGTACAACTTAAATGTCACACACGTGCTTTTTGTTCGCTAATAATACATACGTTAATTTAATTATTGTTTTCGATTGGTTTAAAATTATTAATCATAAAATGCTAATATTCACTTCTTTGCTCTTCGGTTTTTTGTTTTGTTTTGTTTTTATTTTCTTTTGTTTACTTATGTTTCGTTTTGTTTGTTTTGCTCGAACTCGATTCTTGAAGACATTTTTACGCTCTCTTAATTGACACAAATACAATATGTTTGTTCTTGATTGGGACGGGGGGGTTGTGGGTGGTGGTGAGATTCTTATGCTGATGCTAATGCGGTCTTTGACAACATGGAAAACTGGCCATTAACTAGGGGCTAGTAGCGTGGGTGACGATGCGATGGGATATCTGCGAGGGATGTTTTTTGTGTGGGTTGCGTGGCTTGTATGCAATTCATTTAGCTAAATTATAAAAATAGCATTAATCCATCTTGTGAAAGGTATAAAAAAATTAATTACAATTGAGGTACACAATACACATACAGATTTAAAAATCGTTTGCAGTTTTACAATTACATATATATATATATATAGATTAAAATCAATCGATTTCTTATGTACAATACACAAAAATTGTTCATTTCGCGCTAAATAGTCTTTTTGTCACGCATCAAAATACTCTCTCTCTATCTCTCTCTCTCTTTATCGATCGGACCGTGCCCGATCTGGCCGATCCGATTTCCCTCTCCCGCTTAGACATTAATCATTTGCATTTAATATTATATACAGTACACAAACATTGGCAATTATTATTATTATTTTTTTTGTTTGTTTTTTTTGGTAATTTTAAAACATTTTTCTTGCCATTTACTTTAGTTTTTGTTGACTTTGCTTTGTATAGTTCCATATTGAAATAGTCAAGATGTTGTCTTATTTTTGTTCGAAGATAAATTAGAAACTAAGTTCAATTCGATTCTCGATTTGTTTTCGTTATTTGTTTTGTTTAAATGTTTATAAGCATTTGAAAGCGATTGTCGCGTACTCAATTTTTGTTTTCGTTTTCTTACTATTTCCTTAGCTTTATGCTCCTGGTTTCAGTTTCCGTTTCCGTTGCCGTTTCCGTTTCCTCACTGGCCTACACGAGCGCGTTAACTATCGGGTCGGGGGTCTGGTCTGTATCTGTATCTGTCTGTCTATCTGTTCTGTAGATCGGGTTTCTTGAGCTGGAGCTTTAATCTAATAATGGTTTGTATATTCCACAAAAATATACCCAAATGCTGGTAAAGTTGCAATGGTATTGCACGCCCCTTATGTACGGGTATTTATGTATGTATATAGTCTATATATGTATATATAGTATGGATGCAATTTGATACGCCGATTTCCTACACATTCATATAGCTACAAATATCAATCATTGTCTTAGACTACAAATCGTTATTGTTTTAGTTTTAGGTGTGTGTTTTGTTTTGTTTTCTGTGTGAAGTGAGTTTTTTCTTTTTTTTTAATTCGAAAGCCGCTTTTGTGATTCGATACGAAATGTGACTATATAGTATATACCTACAAATGTGTGTGTGTGTGTGTGTGTATGTATATGAATATCGTTAGGTGTCCTCCTCATTATTGTTTTGCTCTGTTCATTGCTCTAACTTGTTATTATTGCATATAAAAACTATTTCCATTTGATATCCTATGTACGTACCTATAGTATATATGTATAGTATGTATGTACACTACTACTGCTACTGATTTGGCGAAGGCGATAGTGGCAATGGTATGTATTATTTATTTATCTCTCTCTCTCTCTCGGTCTCTCTATGTGGTTTGTTCGAGGCGTGCTGACAGTACATATGCAAGTGCTTTTGACGGGATGAATGTGGGTGGTGGGGTGGTGGGGGCGTGGCGTGGCGTGGCTGGCTAATACATATATGTATGTATTCTATGTCGATTTACTGCAAGTGCTACATGTAAAAACTAACTTCGATGCATATTGCTTTTGATTTTGTATTGACAGTTATCGTTGGCTATCCATTTTAACTACTTTGCCGTATAACTAATCTGCGCTCACCAGCTGACACTCTCTCTCTCTCTAAAATCTACTTGGGCTACCTCTCCCTCTGACTGTCTGTCTGTCCTAATTGTTTCTTATCTTAGTTTTGATCTTGAAAAATATGCAAAGGATGTTTTGAAAAGTTCTTGGTTAATCATTTAAGTTTAGTTCATTACTAAAATAGCACCTTGTATTGTTCTCGTGTGTGTGTGTGTGTGTGTGTGTGTGTGTGTTAGTGTGTGTTTGTTCAGATGAGTTGATCCGATCGTTGTTCGAAAGTTAAAGAGAGTAGGCAAAACTATAGGTATATAGTGTACATATGTAAGTAGTAGGTAGGTACATAATATTAGGAGTACATAATACTGTATTAAAAATTAGTTTCAAACAGATGCCCGCCCAGATTTGGCAGTTAACATAACGAGAGTGATTGTGAACATAATCCTGCCACCTATTTTGGAAGGCTCTCCACAATCGAGATGTTTCAACAGTTCTGGAATGGATATAATATTCACAGAAGCATCCCGGCAAGTGAAGGAGTCCCCCCCATCGAATAGGCAAAGTTCAGTTTCAGTTTACGGAATACAATACAACAGTAAACGGTAGAAGGTACAACGTGCGGTGAGGTGAGTGCGACTGGCGGTTTGGAATTTGCGGTGGCCTTCAATGGGTGCGTGTGGGTGGGTGGGTGTGTAGGCGGCAGAGCGTTGTGTGATGCTGATTCTGTGTGTGTTTGGGTTAGAGGCGAGCCTTGGTCGGGGGATATGTACGAGAGCCAGTGTGTGTGTGTGTGTTTGTGTGTGTGCTTGGGATGTGTGTGACTGGGCGTGGGCGTGGTGGTATTCACATATTCAGCAGAAACGGCAAGTTTAAGGCAGTGTAAAGTACATCTACATACATATATCTTTGCATGTACATAAATACAAATACAAATATATATATATACACTCGTATATGCATGCATGCATGTAAACCTATGCGACAATTTGTATAACTAACATTAAGACTTATCACTTTCACTTGGTTGGTTGGTTGGTTGTTTGGTTAGCAACACACAAGAGGCAACCGCTGAGTAGCTGCTGCTGCTGCTCTTAGCTAACCAGATTCTCGACGTCAGACACGACCACCTCCAGGTCCGATGGCAGCTCATTGTTGTCTGTGGTGGTTGTCGTCCCCGCTGCTGGCTTGGGTGCAGCCACGGACGCCGGTGCCGTTGAGCGCGTCCGGAAGTTGTGGAGACTTCGTCGCCCCGGCTGGGCGGGCGGTTGGCGTTGCATGGCGCTGGTCGAGGCGGATTGCTGCAGCGGCAGGGCGGGTAACGCTGCTCCCGCCGCAATCGACGAGCTTGTCGTTGTAGTGCTGCTGGAAGATTGACGCGAGAAGCTGGGCGGACCGGCTGCTGTTGTGGGATTGGAGCCACCGCCCCCTAAGCTGGCGCGCGGAATGTTGCTGAAGCTGTTGCGCGAGTTGCGCGTCGGCGGCACTGGCGCCGCCTTCGACGAGGCACTGCTGTCCCTGCGCAGGTTCGCATTGGAGGTGGAACGTCGCTGGGGCGTGGCAGTGCTCACGGGTGGATCTTTGCCGTTCTTGGGCCCACTGGCCTTCAGGTTGAGGCTGCTCCGCTTCTTGGTCTTGGCCAGGTTCTGGCTAAGATTGATGAGGTTTTGGGTGCTGCCAAAGTTGCGCGTGAGATTCACAGAGCCGCCAGCGGCCTGGGCATCGGCTTTCACTTTGCTGCTGCTACGTCGCGGGGCTACGGCGAAGGGATTGTGGGTGGACAGCGAGTTGGAACGGCGGTACGAGCTGCGCTGTACAGGAACTGGGGGAGCTAGTGCCGGTGCTAGCGTTGGCCCCTCCAAGCTGGCCCTGTTAGAGCTGGGCGCAACTTTACTGCTGCTGCTGGACTTTGATGTGGAGGCCTCACCCTGCAGATCCACATTCTCGTAGCAGTGCTCTGTGGCACGTGACGCTACCGGAGGCTTCAGCGTCTCGTAGTTGGGCTCGTTGAGCGTCAGGATTTGGTTATCGTCCTCGGCCTCATTGCACAGAAGCAGCGCACTCCGCTTGGTGCGCGCCGTGATGTCCTTGGAGGCAGTTTGTCCAGTGCTACGCGTACTGCTCTTCTGGCCTCGTTTGGGCCGACCTGCGACCACATGCGTCTTCACTTTGGGCTTCTTGGACAGACGCAGGGAGAACTTGAACGGTGGCTTGTAGACCACCTGCAGTTTCACCTTCTCGTTGGACAGATTTCCCATCGATTTGGTCTTCTGCGGGGGCTTTTGTACGAGCCGTTCCGGCGTGGACTGCGACTTGCTCATCACCTTGCGCACCCGGGAGCTGTGCTCGATGTGCGACAGCGGCTGGGCCACAATTGGCGACTCCAGCAGCCACTTCTGCACCTTGCCAAAGGTGTTGGTGTGATTGTTGGCCGTCGACAGATTGGAGGCATCGTCGCCGTTGTTGTTGCGATGCGAGTAATCGATGATTTCCTTCATGTGCTTGCCAAGCTTCTTGTTGGACTTTTTGGGCTCATCCTCCAGCGATTTCTTCTTGCCAATACCTTGCGATCTTTGCGTCTTCTTTGGCTCTGTACTGGAACTAGTTTTTCCTGCTGCACGTGATCCCGCCACTGTGGCAGCAGCAGCAGCAGCTCCCGCTACCGCGCCCATTCCCGACTTCTTGCTGCGCTCGCCACGCACCTTCTTCTTGAAGGGCACCTTTGTCCGCACTGCGGTGTGCACTATCACCCCATTGTTGTTCTCCGGCAGACGCACTGTCTCCGTGGTGGCGCTGTGTATGATGGTAACCGACTTAAGCTTCAGATTCGATCGTTTCGCCAGCAGCTTTGTGCTCAGTATCTGAGGAGAGTGGAGAGAAGAGAGTGTGAGCTTAAAAAGGCACGAATTTCGGATAAAATGGGAATTGGAAATGGACAAACAATGACTGCTAGCCTAGATTGCTGCCCTAAAATAGCCACACGAGACTGCACAACTGCTAAATGAGTGTGTTCAACAAGAGATTCTAAAGGGATTCGCTTGTCGATTTGCTGGCTGCTCACCCACAGACCGAGACTGTGACTGAGGCTGAGACTGCGCCTGCGCAAGCCCTTTGCCCGCCTCATGCTGATCCCTTAGCATATGCGTGACCAGGCGCATTAACTTGTGCAGTGCCAAAGAACAAACTTAAGTCAAATTAATACTCAATCAATTTCCATTACACGCCCCCAAATTGTGTCACTTACCAGCAGCAAAATGACGCCAATGGCAGCCAAGGCCACCGTATACCAGTTGTGCTCCATCCACTTCTTGAATGTGGCAATGCTCTCCTCGGAGAGCAGCAGCTTGCGCAGCGTGGCCAGCGGGCCAGATGGGTCCACCTCGCGACACTTTTGAAAGACATCACAGTATCTAAACGGGAAGAGAGAGTAATTAGTAATTGGGGATGAAGAAAATGATTGGTGTCAAATCGAACCCATTGTAATCGTTGCATGGGGTGCCTGGCTTCGAGTACATATCGGGGACATCGAATGGCGCCTCGTTCCACTCGAAGGAACTCCTGCACGGGTTGTCCTCGCCTGGTAGCTTGCAGCACAGCTCACACGACTTGATCCGATCGTCCTGAGGTCCCGGTATGCACTGGCAGGACTCCAGGCCGTAGGCCAAGCAAATGCTGCCGGTACAGTCGCCCATATAGCAGACAAATTCCTTGTTACAGATCGTCTTGTTGGGCTTGTTCACTGACGGAGGGCACTGGGGTACACGGCCATCGCAGAACGAGGGATCCCGACAGCCATTGTCGTCTCGACACTTGTCGCCAAACTTCAGCTTGCAGTCGGTGGTGCAGCATGGGCCCTGGGAAGGGCTGCAGCGGGCATGCGGCGTCAGAGTACAGGGCGTCTCATCTATGCGTGGCTGGCGTGACATGGGAAAGCAGCAAGAGTCCTTGCAGTCCTCCTCCCAGCCGCAGTCGCACTGCTCTCCCGGCTCGACGACGCCATTGCCACAAATCGAGGACTGTGGCTCTGTGAAGCAGCCCTTCATGGAACGCGCTTTGGCATTCAGCACGGGCTCAATCGACTTCAGCGAGCAGGTGCTGAACTTGTTGTTGTTCTTCTTGTCTCCGGAGGTGGCACGGGCAAACATAATGAAGTTGCCATCCTCCCCACCCGGCGTACACTGTTCCGGATCGTGCTGGAAAAAACCAAAAACTTGTAGATCGCTGATGGGCCTAAGGAATGTGTGTGTGTGTGTGGCATCTTACCGGGGAGCCAAAATTGTGGCCAATTTCGTGAGCTAACGTCACATGTGAGACGGCGGGCGGCACATGCTTGCCATAGTTCAAGAGCGTCACAATGCCCGTATTGAGGGACTTCAGGGAACCCCGATAGTGTCCATTCTTCTCGCAAACGCCGCCAGCATTCTTCAGATCACCCGTCCAGGCCAGTCCCAAGGTGCCCATCTCAAAGTCGCGATAGGTAAACATGTAGGCCAAGCAAAAGGCATCGTAGTCCTCCTCTGTGTAATGGAAAATCGTTTAAATTACACAAAACAGGGCTTTGATTTCAATATTCTTACCCGAAAACAGTTCCAGGAACTTCTCCACGCCATAGTTGCCGGGAAAACGATAGCTGGGATCCTTCATGGCATTCATATTGTGCACCTTGATGCGCTTTATCATGAACGTGATGTTGTCCGGCTTGCCATCGTTATTAAAGTCCGTATTCCGATAGATCGAATTGGCGCGCTGCACATGACGTGTGATGGCCTCAATGGAGGCCTCGTCGGAGCCCATTTTCTGAAAGAATGTGTGATCTGCCTGCAGATACAACATGCACGTGGTCTTGCGATCGTACAGCAGCCGGGGCGAGCTGTGTATATCATCGCCCCGTCCGCTCAGCAAATTCGTCATCAGCATGCTGTTAAAGCTCGGATTGTGTGGATTGGGTGCGAATATAATCTCCGGATTGTAGTTATTCACAATGATGTTTGGTTTCTTGGTGGCCCCGTTTTTTGTGATAATCTCAACGTGTGTCTTGTGGCTGGGCCGATCGTTGCCGTTGCTGTTGCCATTGTTGTTGTTGCCCAGGAAGAGCGTTGTCCAGTTGGCATTGAAGAAATTACTTGGCAGATTTCCGTTGCTGTTGCCGTTGCTGCTGCTGTTGTTGTTTGGCTCTTCGTAGGGCGTGCCAAACTCTGGCTCGATGGGACGATTGTATGTGCTTACAATTATGTTCTTGTGCTTCGTATACAATTTACGCACATTGTTGTTGTTGTTGCTGTTGTTGTTGTTGCTATTGTTATTATTGGCATTATTGCTGTTGTAGCTGCGACTGCCTTCACCGACATTGGAGGGATTATAGTTATTTACAAGTATATTGCGGTTAGACGTGGGTTTCGTCAGCGTGGCCAGAAAACTTTCGGTGCTGCGGCCAGTATTTCTCGTTGTCGAGGTCGTTGGATATCTTCTAGTTGGCCTCTCATCGCTCCGATCCTCTTCGGAGGCCAGTACACGAAAATCATCATTGTAGGGCACCTCCAGATCTAATGGCAAAGGCGGGTTACGATTGTATGTGGGCCTCGGACTATCAGACATGGCCACCTAAAAGAAAATGCATTATTTAGCTGCGATTCAATGGCATTTGAATGGCAATCAGTTTACCTCTTCGGGCAGCCACCGTTTTTTTCGCAACTTTTCGCTGGCGCAGTGCGTCTTCGTTGGCACCTGTGAGCTCAGACCGCCTCCGAGGTGCTCCTTTTGCATATTTACATCACTTAACTTATAGACTATGCTGTGGACGCCACTCTCGGCTAGTTGCTGGGAGTAGCGTTGCGCTGGCTCGATGTAATAGTGCTCCGCTTGGGTTTCAATCGTGCCATCGAGCAGATTATCACTGGTTAGAATGGCCTGCACATGGGCCGCCTCATCGTCCTCCAAGCTGCCGGTGTAAATGCGTGAGACATCGTAGTCGATGGGTCCCAGTGTGTTCTCGATTTCCACATCGTGGGCGAACACCGAATGCGGCTGTTGACGCAGCACCAATCGAAAATCTCTGCGTGCGGAAAGAGAGGGGGGGACGGTGATTAAGTGTAATCGGAGCTCGCTCGGATTTGATTTGATTTGAATTGAGTTCAAACTGCAACAAAGTCCAAGCCCACCCACGCACACACTCACCTGTCATGGGCCGAGAAATTCAATCTTATTGTGTGCGCTAATCCACTCGAGGACGATGGCGGCGACGACGTCGACGACGGTGTGGGCTCCACTTGACGCTTTTGGCGGAAGCGCGCCTGCTCCAAGTGCCTGAGCTGGGCTGCCTGCAGCACACTGCGATCGAAGTTCGCCGCCTCCCAGTGTTTGATGTACGGCGTCAGTTTGTGGGTGTAGCCTGATGAGAGATCCCAAAACTCATTGACTCAGTGGTAGGAGGAGGGAGGTAAAGTATTGGGACACTTACCTGGCAGCTTGAGTGGCGTTGGAACGGCCAGCAGCTCACTGGGCACCCACAAAAGCGCCAGGAGCCCCAGCAGCCAGCTCATCTGGCTGGATTGTGTATCTGTGTCTGGGCGATAGTGTATGTGTGTGTGTCTCCGGCAGTGTGTTTTGTGGTGTGTATGTGTGTGTGTGGAAACCTAACTAGTTCTAGGTTGCGTTTTCTTGGATTAACCTCTGTGTCTGACCCCCAGGCATCACATTATTGCAGCCGTCGCCGTTTCTCTCTGTTCTGTTGCAATAGGCAGATTGTGCCAGAGGAGAAAGAGGTGCAGGGAAATTGCTCAGGCCGCAATCCGCGTACCAATCTGTGACATTTCCACGCGAGAAGCTGTTGGAGAAGAATGAGAATGGATATAATCGAGTTGATTGCATTAACGGTTGCCCTGCCTCTCACTGCCACAAAGAAACAGCATTACGCATACGATACGTCCGGATACTCTGGAGCAGGCTCCCCATACAGACAGATCATGGATGGAGGAGGGGCAAAAAGTGGCTTTCACCTTTTCCAGCAACAATAAAATATACGCCAAATCTTTTGTTCAACATCAATTTTTGCATAAAAGGCAAAAGCCACAAACAGCAGGAGAGCAGAGCAGAGCGAGAGAGGAAGAGCAGCGCCACAGCATCTCATTAGCACTTCACATACGCACGCACACACGCATGGGTATGAATTGTATAGAGAGTCGGATGTAAGTGTGCGTGTGTGCCCGTGAAAATTACTGTTAGTTTCCCGTTTGTGGCTTTCCAGTCTTTAGCGCACATTTCCTTTTGGTCAATGGAATTAAATGCATTCCTTTGCACTATTGACAACCGTTTAATTGGATAATTATTCTTTTTTTTTGCTGTGCGTGCAAAAGGGTTTAGAGTGTGTTGTTGTCTTTATGTATGTGTGTGTGTATTCTGGCCCAAAAAACGCTGATGCGCTGCTTCTTACTCGCTGCTCGCTGCTGTTGTTGTTGGTGGCTTAAACCAAAATAAGATACACGAAATTCAATTAGCCACAAATTGTTGCACTTTTTCGTTATTCGTTTGGTTAATTGGATTTGGCCAACTTGCAAATATCAAATATTTTTAAAGAAACAAACACACACAAAACAATCGACCTCCACTGGTCGCTGTATTTCCCATTAACGCGCTGCCACTGGCTGGCGTAAATGGTTATAAGCCAGTCCCAAGTTTTTTTTTTCGATTCGTTTCGTTACCAGGGCCCAAAAACCTGTTCTTCTCTTATTCATCCAGGCCCGAAACAAACGAATTTCCCGTGCAGTTTATGGAGTTATTATTAATGTGAACCTTGATTAATGGCATCGCACATACTTTTTATATCCACTCGAGCATTTTAATTCGTTTTGTTCTCCAGAAACAACTTTTTTTTGTGTGTCGCCCACCACCCACCGAGAAACGAACCAAGGTACGTATTAAACGGTTTCAGGTAGCTATCGATAGTAGCGATAGAATCGCGGGTATCGGCAGCATTATTTATTGCCAGAATTTTATATTTTTCGAAATAAAATATCCAACATATTAATTAACATCATTCTTAATCAACGACTGCTGCTGCTGTATGCCGTCACGTAGTTCTTGGGCATTCTTCTCCAGCGTCGCGCAGCAGAATTGCAGTTGCTCTTTTTGGGACTCCAAGGTGTCTACTGTGGCAGCCAGTTTCGCGACCTTTTGATCGTAGGTATCAAACACTTGCCACCACGTCTGGAGCGGTAGATTCTCCGGATCCGTCAGCAATTCATGTTCCAAATCGGAATTGTCTGTGCTGGTGGCTACGGGAGGCTGTTGGACTTCAAATGTTTCCATATCCGCCAGCATTTCATCCACAGTTGGGGCAGTTGGCGGTGGCTCTGTCTTTGGTTTTGACTTTTTAAACATTGCTGTTGCTTGCGATTCTGTGGGGTTTGGTTCAGAGTGATAACGTCAGCAGTTCTAGGCAAATCAAATGGTTGCCACGACGCTTACCTTGTGTAGTGAAACTGTTGATGCCTACAATACTGTCAGCAGTCTGCAAGCCTTATAATATGTACCAAAAGTACTTAATTTTATTAAATATACTTAATTGGAAAATGTAAACAAAAGTCTTGAGTTCATAGGGATGGTATGTTAAATATATATCGGCTCTTTATTTTGAAAATAGCAGTGTTGAAATTGTCACGGAGACATCTAGCGGTCAAGAAAAACTCGTAAGAATAATCGATAGCCTGCATGTGTGTGTTTTGCCATCACTGGTTTGCGCGCTTGACTTTTTTGTTTGTTGTTTTCGCGTAATTTATAATTGAAATATAATGGGAAACCAGGACGAGCTCAGTACCGGAGCCAAACAGAAGATTGTAGAGGCGGCTGCACGTGCCAAGAATCCACTCGACACATTGCCATACGATAAGTACACAGCCCCGTCCGGAGAAGAGTTCAGATTGATTTGCCGGACCAAGAGCGATGCCGATGCGAAATCCATAAAATGGGCCTTTAAGTTGGCAGAGATTAACGTGGGACCCTACTACAAACAGTTAAAAATGGGCTGGCAGCCAAAAGTGAAGGCGGCCGAACACAACAAGAACTGGGCCCGCTACCTGTTCGCACAAAACAACAAGAAAGAGATGGTGGCCTATTGTATGTTTCGCTTCGACATGGAGAACTTAGACTGCATACTCTATTGGTGAGTTGAACATGCCCCTGCTGCATATATGAGTAGTTAACTTGTCTTTGTTTTGCAGCTACGAAATGCATGTTGCGGCCAGCTCTCAACGCAACGGCCTGGGGCGCTTTATGATGCAAGCCCTGGAGGGTTGTGCCCGCCACTGGCATCTCGAAAAGGTTATGATTACAGTGCTGAAGAATAACGAGGATTCCATATCCTTCTACAAGAAGCTCGGATACAGTGAGGACGAAACATCTCCGGATGTCACAGAGGAGGCCGAATATCAGATCTTTAGCAAGTCCACATTAGGCTGAACATTTATTGGATTACAAGAGAGAATACAAGAACTATTAATTACTTCAACAAATTGGCCTGCGTCTCAAAGTAATTGGCCATGCGAATGTCCTGGGAGCTCAAGCCGCCCACGTCGTGGGTGGAGAGTGTGACGTTGATTTTGTTGTAGCAATTAAACCACTCCGGATGATGGTTAATTTTCTCGGCCAGCAGGGCCACGCCTGTCATGAAACTGAACGCCTGATTGAAGTCCTTCAGGACAAACTGCTTGTAAATGGCATCGCGACCATCCACCAAAGTCCAGCCAGCGTCCAGCAGGGGCTGCAGCTTCTCGGCACGTTCCTGTTCATTTAGTTTAACCTGCGCGGAGCAACAAGTATGTAAAATAGAAGCAATACACACATTTTTAAAGCCTTAACTTGGCCTCGGGGGTCAGGTTGTGAGGCGATAAGCGGGCGTCAAAGACAGTCTTTTGATAAACTTTATTGAGCGAACAATTTCCCAACTCACCACCATTTTGCGTGTTTTCCCTGTTGCGGTTTGTTTTTGAGTGCTGTAGAATCTGCAGAGCCCCACACCGCCACCAGTTGCTGCTGCCGCTCTCGTTTCTGGCGTCGTATAGATAGCTGAATTCGATTTGGCTTTGCGATTGCTGCGCGTAAATCAAAAGCTTCTCAAATATCTCGCCCAATCACAGCATCAAGCGTAGCTACTCACCCCCACCCCCCACAGTATCTCTCGACAGTGGATTTGGCTTGAAATAAACCAGATTTACTCCGACTGCTGGCAAGTAGATTTGCAGCTTTTTGAAAGTTACTTTTAATCACATTTGTTAATAACATTTTGTATTCCAAAACCGGTTTGCGTGCAAACCAGCTGGTCCTCAGAAATATACCAGAATTTACCGTCTCTTTTTCATTAAATACTGTAAATATACCGTACACATACTGACAAGATATTGACCGATTTTGTTATTCAGTTTAATATTATTAGCTAGTTAGCCCTCTCAGCCCTAAACAAATAATTTTATCCGATAGATACATAAATTTTCTACAAGACTGGCTAGTATTCAGAAGTCATTTTTATTGCATTGTTTAAACAAAAACAACATAAAACGAATGTGACGTCATCGTTGTTTCTGGCGCTGCCAGACTCGTGCAATTCGTAGCTGCTGCTGGCTGCCACACCATGATATTTTGTTACCCGTTTCATTACCGATTCGCTGTGAACCAATCTGGCAGCACTAAAAACAAAAATCCTCAAAAAAGAAGAAGAAACATTTTCCGCAAAAAGGAAGAAGAAACATTTGAAGTTGATCTTTTGATTGCGCCGCAAGTATAAGGGCAAAATCTAAAGATTTTAAGGATAAAACCCACCTCACCACATAACTCACCTTGCCATGACCCAGTCGAAAGAGAACACTCAAAACTCTCTCCCACTAATTTTTGCGCTTAAGAGTGAGATGAACAGCTGTTGACTGGAATGCCAACTTGCTTTATACAAGCGCGTTGGGCAGTTCGAAAAACGATAGTTTTAATTAAAATTCAAATTCAAATTTGTGACTTTATTTTTATTAGTTATTTGTTATATCATTTGATTGATAGCTTTCAATATGTTAAATAAACAGCTTTTTCTCCCTTGAGTTGACAGTTCTGTTGAGTGCGCTGATTAATTAGAATTCAAAATCCAATATAATTAACTGTGGCGGTTTGATTACTTATGCACCACATTTTCTGCCTCGCCATTGCCATAGTAATCATAGTCCGCATTGGCCGTTGAAGATCGCATTTTGGGTTGCTCCGTGGAGTTGGCCAGCTCCATGGGCTGTCCAGTGGCTGCCTCTGTGGCAGCTGGTGTCGTTTTCCGCCAGCGCAGACTGTAACGGCTACGCAAAAATGGTGGCTTGGTGGCCATGGTCATGGCATTGCCAAAGACTAGACAAAGCCGTAGTGTGAGCAGAAACCCGAAAAGACTGTGCAAGTTGCTTACCCAGGCCAACGAGGCAACAGCACAGAACCAGCAGCAGTGTCAGCTTCATTCTGCAAAACTCTTCCGATGCAAACTGTGTCCCCAGTCTGCAGTGTCAGCTGCATTTATAGTCCCTGCCATGCAAAGATAAACAATTCCCCCCAGATCAGTGGAAAGCGAAAGCAGTCATCAGTTCCCTAGGGGGCACGTTGTCCAGCCAAACCAAGTTCATTCACCGCTTTGGCGATTTTACATTTTATTCTGTTATCTGTGATGCGAACACTTCACTTGCTAAGCTTACGGGTTAAACGACATTGTACAAATATGGTAATAAATACGTGTGTGGATTGGATTTTGTGTGTGCGCGCGTCCTCCGCTCCTGCTCCTCAATTATCAGGCTCAGCGGGTCGCGGACGCCTGGGACCCGAGGGTATTGGTGGCGGCGGCACATCCGGAACTTGGCTGTTTTTACTCTGCGATCCGTTTCTGATGTCCTCAAAGCTGGGCTGCACCGGCTCCAGGTTCAGTTCCAACGGCAGTGGCTGTGGCTCTGGCTGTTCCTCTTTGGGCGGCGAGGGTGGTGCTGGTGGTGCGGTTGCTGCTGCTGTGGGCTCTCGAATTGGATAGCCTTGTGTGGGATAGTAATCGTAGGGCGGCAGATAGTTCTGGCGCACATAGCCATCCTGCTGGTCATAGATCACCGGATACTGGCTGTACGGATAGGGGGGCAGATGCGTCGGCTGACCCGTGTACTGCGACGGCAGCCGGATGAGTACGGGCGGCAGTCCCTGTTCGTTCAATGGCAGCGGCATCTGTTCCTTGGTCATCTCCTGGGGCTCCAGTGATGGCGCAGCCACCTGTGGCAGTGGCTGTTGCTCCACAGGCCTTTCCACAGGCGCATCCACAGGCTGTCGCTGCTCGTAGGGTGCAAATCCAGCCGACGGATACTGTGCTCCAGTGGGCAGCGGATAAGGCAGCTATAAAAGACAATACTTAGCTTTGGATTGGACCGCAACAAAACCCTCCACTCACCCGTTCGTTGGGCGTCAAGCCGGGCACAATGGGCTGGCCGAACCGCACCAAGGGGGGACTGTAGTAGCCGTAGGGATTGTAGGGTCCAAGGGGCGCATAGCCCGGCTCATGTATGGTGGGCTGAATGACAGGATAGGCCCTGCTGGAGGTCAGATTATCGTCGGTGGTGATGAGCGCATTGTAGACTCTTGGCTTCTTACGCAGACGACGCGCGGCTTGGGATGCGTCGAGGCGGCACAGCAGCAGCACGAGGCCCAGCAGCAGAAGCAGCAGCGTGCGCTGTAAGTGAATTTTTTGCTTTAATTTTTCAAGTTTTTCCTGCCACGGACAGCTGTCCCTGGATTGTCACAACCCCAGTCCCCAGCCCCCAGCCCCCAATGAGAATTCATAATCTATTTAATTGATTGCCATATCGACAATCAATCAATGAATTGTTGGGACTACGCACAATCGACGGTTGTTTGACGGAAGTTGGACTCCCCAGCGCCCAGCTCCCAGCTCAGGCAAACCATGGCATGGCTCGTTAGTAATGGAAGCTTGGCAGGGGCCCTGCCCGGTTCTCGACTACCCTCTGCCCCCTCAAAGCCTTTCAAATGCCAGCGGCTGCTGCCCCCTCCGCCTGCCAGTTGCTGCATTCAACACATGTCTGCCATTGTTGTGAATTAACTACACTTCATTAGTTTTGAATTGAAATGTAGATTGTGCCTTTAATTGGATTACGCGGAGCTGATCGAACCGGACGAACCCAACTGTTCCACCGATCGCTGAACCTCTTGGGCCCAGGCAACACACACACAGAAAAAACAGACTTCTTGGGGCTTTCCTTTGCACAGCACAGCACAGCAGAGCAGAGCAGACCGCCACCCTAGAGAGATTTTGCCTAGGTCTAGGTCCGGTTAAACAAGTTGCTGGGGCATGGAAAATGCACTGAAGCAACTGATCCGCGCAACTGAGTGACCGAGTTTCTGATCTTGATCTCCCTCCACAGCTGCCGCTGCTCTCAAATTGCTGCTCTCGGATTACTTACGCCCCCCTATTGCACAGGGCTGGGCTGTATGCTCATTGGCCCCTGGCCCCCTTCCTGGAGCTGACTGGCAATTTGCTTTGCTTTCCATGCATTTCACTTTGACTTTCCTTTGGCGTAAACAATCTCCACCCACATGCGCCTGCCCCGTGATCTCGGCTTTCAAAAATAGAAAAGATCAGACCAACAGACAGAGAGGAGAGCAATTTTCAACGCTTTTCCTTTTCTATTTTCGTTTTCGTTGCGGTCCGCGTTGTGCCCCAGCTGGCCTGGCCTGGCCTGGCCTTAGTAGTGAAATGAAATGAATCGAATCACCCAGACACAATAATCGTAATGCTTGAGCTTGATCATGTGTGGAGTGGTGTGGATTGGATTGGAGTGGAGTGGAGTGGCGGAGTGCTGCACTTCAGCTAAACGAAATTGGGCCACATTGAGTGGCCAAGTGTGTGAGGCAGGGCAGGCCATGCCATTGTAATAATCCGTTAAAAGTGATAGTTGAAAATGTTTTGAGGCAGTTAGGCGGCTAGCTTTGAAGATCGCATTGCTGTAGGTGTTTGATAGGCCCCAAAACAAGAGAGCCCTCCCCATGTGGGTGCCAGACCTAGGGGCATTTGGAGGGGGGGCTGCCATTTCAACTGCTATGAGCTGCAGCTTGCAGCCAAAAATAAACATTCCATTTGGAAGCAAATACAAGCAGCAGAAACGAACCCAAAACTCTTAGACCAATTCCATTTGAAAGCATGAATTCTTGTACATTTTGTTGATCTCTTACTCATAATCATAGGAAACAATAGTTCTTTCTGCAGAATCATGTGGCATGATCTACGTATCTGCTCTTATGTACATTTGTTTGTCTGTCTGTCTGTCTGTCTATTCCTAGACCCACTCTCCACCCATTCTCGCTCCTATTCGCTTTGGTTTTACTCGCCTGCACTGCCCAGCTCTGACTCAGCTCTGACTCCAGCCAGCCAGCCAGCCAGCCAGCCAGAGTCATGGCTAAGACTGTGGACCAGTTCAAAGGCAAATTAGATGGCATGCGGCCAAATGGTGTAACCTTAAACCTGACGCTTTGATGGGCAACGAAAGTGAAAGTGTAACCCAGACAGAGAGAAGTGTTTTGGGCACAAATCAATCGAAACAGATTGATCCATTAGGGTTTGGCTTACCTTTTCCATTTGCATATTTTTGCCGTGAGTTTTGTATGCAGGCAGTGCACGCCGAGAATGATGTGTCAGGAAGCGCCAGAAAAGCCCAAAAAGATATCGCATAAATTGTTGAATGTGTCTCAGCCGGAGCCTTGTTTACTTAGCCTTCTGGCCGCTTGCAGCTGAAGCCAGCTGCGGCTTATTGAATTGTTTTTAAAATGCACAATTGGTTCAGCAACGACGGGGCGGCGTTCACGACACGTAATGACTTTGAAAACAAGTTGCTATAAATAATATAATGCACATGCAAAAACCCAAGTGCAGTGCAGTGCACAGAGAGCTTGGCGCTGGCGAAGGGGTCTTCGATGTGGAACCTAGCACACACACACAGCACACACAGAGAGAGAGAGAGAGAGAGAAACTGAGACCGAGACTGAAGACCGGAGCACAAGTTGACGCGGAGGCTGCTAACGTTCGACTGGCAATGGCGACGGCTGCGCACGCGCGTTTCTTATTGGACTTGGGAGCGAACGCTGGGCGCGCACATAGGCCAACCTTTTATACCTTCGGTGTTGCCTGATGCCTGCTGCTTGATGGTGTTGCAGATTGGAAGCTGGTGGTGGGATGTTGGAGGTTGAGCTGCGATGTGGTGGCTTTTGGTTTTTATTGGCCCACTGGCAGGAACTTCTTGGCAGTTGGCCCAGTTTTACAGTGGCCTAGTTGCAACAGTTGCCTAGACTTTTGGAATGGATTTCGTTCCTCCCAATATTAGTTCTTCGTAGGGTATGCCCCCATTCGATCAGTTCAAAACAGCAACCCAAATAGCTTTCCTCTGGGATGGCTTTTCGTTTATTGTAGCTTCGCTTTAATTGCTTTTTGCGGCTTTAATTGAATGCAATAAACCGGGCGAAAGTGTAGAATGGCAGCAAAGGAATTTGTTCAGCTCTCCACACATCAGAGTGTGTCGGCATCCCCGCCCGTTCACAGCTTGTCTTTATTCTAGGTCCATGACAAATGAGGCTTACGCTGGCTAGGTTTCACTTTCATTAGCCAGAAAAGCCACAGAACAATTGTTTTTGCTGCTGTTGCTGCTGCTGCTGCTGATTTGTCTTAGTGGCTGTTAACTAGCTGCTGCCGCCACACCACTCGATTGTTAACCAGATTGTTAATGCAGTCGTAATCCCCCCCTCTCCACCATGAGCTACCACTGCCTGCAGTCACGTTCACTGCCAGAGCAGAGGTGAGAAGTGTCAGTCGGGTCTCCCCTGCACCCACACTCGTGCAACAGACGCCGACAGATCTGGGGGGTCAATTCGAAGATTGTTAGACCAAACAGCTGTTGTGGGCGTAAGCCCCTGCCCGCCGTGTTTTCTTCTTGGCTTTGGCGTAACTTTCGCTTTCCCTTTTTGCTGTTTTGATCGGCTCGGCTCGTATATTGGATGCTCAGCGGAATAATTGCGTACTGCAATCTCCCGCTGATCACCTCATTGGCGATAAGAGCCAGATGCACTTCAGACACGACATGTTGACAGCTGTGCAAACGTCTTTATTTGCTTGCTGGCCCCTGGCCCACTGATAAGGCAATCAATGGACCAGTCGATCTCCCGCTTAGCGACCCAAGAATCCAATTAATCTATCGACAGGAGGGAGCGTGTAATCAGTGCCTTGGTATTAGAAGCGGCCGTTTGGCTATAAATACAAACGCCGAGCGCAGCAAAAAGTGCAGTTGCAGTTGCATTCCCGAAAAGACATCACCATGAAGTTTCTCATTCTGCTGCTGAGCCTGGCGCTCGTTTGTGCCGCCGACCACCATGAGCATCATCACCACCACGCCGATGGAGCCTCCGCCTATGTTGTGAAGAGCCACGACGATTTGGTCTCCTATCGTAACGCCTGCGTGGAGAAGGTAAATGCTCCCGCCGAGCTCGTGGCCAAATACAAGAAGTGGCAGTTCCCCGACGATGCGGTGACACACTGCTATATGGCCTGCATCTTCGAGAAGTTCGGATTTTACGACGCGGAGCACGGCTTCGATGTGCACAAAGTGCACGTTCAGCTCTCGGGCCCCAATGCCCAGGTGGATCATTCCGATGAGACGCACCAGAAGATTGAGCAGTGCGCCGAGACCAATGCGAAGGAGCACGATTCGTGCGCCAAGGCCTACCACTCGGGCATGTGCTTCATGAATGCCAATCTGCATTTGGTGCAACACAGCGTCCAGGTCTAGGACCGACATTTGGAACATCCTCGGACCAGAACATTCCTGATCGTTTGTCAAAAGTTCAATAAAATCACACATTGCCATCCCTTACACAGCTGCAAGAGAAGTAAATAATAAATATTTAAATTATCTGAATGAAAACTCAAATTAAATTTAAATGATTTAAATCCACTGTTTGAATTTGATGGCAGTTTTTCGATAATTATATCGATGTTGGTCTTTGTTGGAAGCGAACACCTGGGGCGCCACTTCACATTGAAATATTGCCAATAGATGGCGGCAGCAGCCCGTATCGCGGCCCTCTGGCAGCGCCAGCAAAAACCTCCAGACGAGATGGCAGCGCTGGCCAAACCGCCAAAGTGTTGGAAATTTAAAATTGTTTTGCATTTAATTAAATTAATTCTTAATAACTAGCAATGGGACTTATTAGTATGTATATTTTATGTATCATTTTTCTGCTTCATGTAATCCTTGACCCAATGCCCAAATCTTCCAGAGGTGGCACACTTGTAGGCCTGGTAGGCCCATTCATCAGGTTGATTCAGACGTTGCTCTCTGCTGTTGCAGTAGTCGACCACGAGCTGCAGCTCCTCCATTTGGTTGTGGCCCGCAAAGATCTTTGCTATGCGCTTTGCATTGTAGCCACTCTCGTCGGACCACAGGCCGAGCCTCTCCACCAGACATCTCAACGTTTCCGCATCCTGTCCTTGCGACTGAAGGCGGCAACTGTCCAGCTCTTCGTACACCTGCTCGGGGCTGGGCAGCTGCCAGACGGAAGCGGCTCTTGTAGATGGCACGGCCAGAAGGAGAAGGCAGCTCCAGCAGAAGATCTCCGATTTGTGCGAACGCATTGTGTGTGTATTCGGCTGTCTACGATTTGGGATTGGGGCAAGCTTGTTGCCACTTGTCTCTTTTATAGAAATGTTCTGGTGGCTAAAACCAGTTCTAGAAGTGCCGCCGCCGCCGATTCATGTTGCGGCATTGACATTAACCTAGAATTCATGGAAAATAAAACTGCCGGCTGCGAATCTAATTGTTTGTCATCGTACACGCACTGATGTAATGGCGTTCAGCCAGATGAAGTATTGTCCACATAAACAGGTGACAAACAGAGTAACTTTCCATCTCGAGAGACGGACAAACAACAAGCTCGAAGCGGGTTCAAGTTCATGAATGGTCTAGCGTCCACATAGACCCATTATGATGTGGCGTCACGTCTGGATTAATTGAGTGGATAAGTCATTGAAATGCCCAATAAAATATACTTCCTAACTGTTGGGGCTTTATGGCAGCATCTGTATATGCTATGGGGATACATGGATGGATTCCCACAAATCGCAAGCTGCCATATTGAAACTGCAACTGCAATTATAAGTGCGCGGCTCATTGATTCAGGCGTTAATTTCCAAAGGTCCGCCCACTCTCAACCTGATTTCAGGACCTTTATTAAACATTCCAATCACACGTGAACTCCTCTCTTTATGGATGTGTTTTTTTGCTGCTCCACCCATCCTTTGAGCGGTGTTGGAGGCCCTTGGACTTTCTCCGTCGACTGTGACTACTTCATTAACAACTCGCTGGGGCGTTTTCACGCTGCAATAGACTTTTCCGCGCCATTCAACCAGTGCACATGTCAGGCCCCGTTTGACAAAGCTAATTTCCCTACGACGGCTCAGACCTCAAACCGCACAGCCCCAGACCACAGACCTGCGGCTTTCCCCGACAGCCAGCCAGCCAGCCAGCCAGCCAGCCAAACGCCAAACAAACACTTCACGCGACCTATTCAATTATTTCTCAATTAAATGTCGTGTAAAGAAGTCATCATCGTCGACATCGTCATTGAACGGCAGTCCCCCTTCCCCCCTCCCCCTTGCCACATCCACTTGGCACATTTGGCCCGTACCAAGCACGAGCGAAGCTTGCAAATGGGCGGATGCATTTCACGAGTGTCGAAATAGTCAAAGGCAGGGCCAAATTCAATTTGGGTTTTCATTTCCATTTAGCTTTGCAGCCGCCTGGTTTAGTTTTTCCCATTAAGTCCCATTAAGTACTTAGTTTCAAAGAGTTTCCAGCAACAACAAAACAAACACACAACGACAAAAAAAAAACACAGAAGAAATCCGATGAATGACTCGAAACGAAGTGAAATCAAATGAAAGAAGGGAATTGAATTTGAGCGGCAATATCTACATGTTGTTTTTTTTTTTTTGCAATATGTGGGCCAAGTAAATGTGGGATATCATGAGGGATATACGAGTGTAGAGTCTGTTCTTAGATGGTGCAAAAATAGTGATTTAAATTGATTTATTTCCAGTAGGAACAATTCTTGAACTAGGAATAAACTAAATAAAATAAAACTTACACTATAAAATAGAATATGATATATAGAAATATTTTGAATAAAGTCTTAAACTAGTTAGAGCTTGCCTTTTCTCTCTATATTTTAGCATGAATACTACACTCTACCCGCACTTATATTTCGCCTCCTGCTATATTGCGTATGAAGAGCATGGTCCTTGTTTTTTTTAGTACGATTTCACTCGAGAATGTTCCTTCTCTTTTCATATGCTTTTCGGGCTTAATGGTCTGCGACTTGTTTCTTTTGAATGTGCATTGTTTCTCCACTTGGGTGCCTTTTCTCTCTTGTGTTCTCTGCCCCAATCTCAAACTGTTTCCATTGTATGCAAACATCTGCAGCACCTGCCCCCAGTCCGCTCCCCCCCTTCCGAAAGGGGCAGCCGACGTTCATTGAAGCTGCTCTAATTGCAACTTTGAAACTCAATTGGGTAGACACAAGGCCAGGCGGTGGGGCAACAGAGCAGCAGCAGCAGTAGCGCCACTTCTCTCGACCATAAACCACCAATTAAATATAAATGTTTGCGCTTTTCTGAGCACCATTCTTTCTCTTCTTTTTTTTTATTTTGTATTTTCCTGCGCTCTCTCAATTTTACAGTTTACAATTTGCACATGGACCGTGTCCGAGTGGGAGTCTGGGCGGAAGGTCAGTTCCATTGCTCACATGATGAAAAGGGCCTCAGGACACGTGCGTTTTGTTTAAGCCCACGGGGCGGGCATTATTCTTCGCCTGCTTTTATGCTGCTGGCCCAAGGACCTGCTAACGATGGAACATATGGGTGAGTTGCCTCCTCCTTGGGTTGGGCTCAGGTCTGCATTTTAGTGCTGAACAGCTGGCAAGAAATGCGACAGTAAAAACTTTTCTGCCTGCCGAAAGTGGGGTAGGGAGGGAATCTCTGCTGGAGGGGCGTGGTCTTTGGGTAGGCGACACATTGTGCCAAAAGTTTTTTATGCCCATTCCCTGTTGGCCCAAAAGTTTCCCCCCCCCCCCCACTGCAAACTTTTGCGCAAAAGAGAGAAAGATTAAAAAAGAGAGGAAAATGCTAGAAAATTGGAATACTTTCCAAGTTGGGAAGTTTATTCCGAATGCAGAGGCATTCTTCATAACTGAGCGGGAGGGGAACTGGGAAACTGGCGGGGACTTGGCAATTTTTCCCAACTTAATTAATTATTAATTAGTGAATCATCTCAAAGCCAAACAAGTGGCCGATGGCTGCAAAAAAAGAGAAAAACAAGTAAAAAAATTGTGTATAAAAATAAATTCATGTTAAAACCTCGCACAAAAGGCCATGAGAAGCGGGAGAGAGAGAGAGAGAGAGAGTGTGCTGGACAGGGGGGGAGGGCTCATGGATACGGATGCGGACGCGGACACGGCTTCGGCATCGGACGGAGCTGGAGGTCAGCGCGTGCGGCGGCTTTTGTTGACCGCACTCCGCGCATTAGCGTGGCTAAATTAGGGACCAGTTGGACGAGGCGCGCGCGGGGGCACTGGACACGGGGCTGTGCCAGGATCAGGACTCTCGGGATGCCCTGCCATTGAGTGTACTTGTCCACTCTTATCGTGGCCATGGAAGGACTGGGACTGGGTGGCAGGAGCGCTGTGGTAATTGGAATTAATTTAGCATTAAGCTGCATTTTCTTTAGCCAACTTGCCGTGAGAGGGGACTCTGTGGTGGACTCTCTCTCTCTCTCTATCACTCTCTTCATTATGAAGTGCCCACATTTTGTATACTTTTTTTCTATTCCTCGTTCACTTCATTCTCTTTATGTATAGACATCGCTTGGGTTGTTAATTAATTGCGCTTAGTTGCGGCAAATGGCAGTTGGCAAATGATCTCGGTCCATGGTCGAGGGCGTGGCAGGCAGAAGCTGGGCAGTCATTAGCGGGCAAGCAATTAGCAGAACTTGGCACTGGAATGCAGTGCCGCAAATTTCCAAATCCAAATCCCAATCCCAATCCCAATTAAACAAAACTTTTAACGGAATAATAATTGCATTCAATTTATTATCTAAGCAGCGTTCGATGATGGACCCGCATAATCAGGCAGCCACTTACAATGTCTGCATTTCGAATCAAAGGCAACAATTGCAGTCGTCTCACACACACACACACACACACACACACGCGAAACATATGCATACATATAGTATTGTAGTATTCAAAGGAGCTTCATGGCGTATGCGCAATGCGAGTGCCGTGACGTGCGACAAGACAAGGCGCAGGGGCGGGCATGATAGCTACAATTTGTCTGCAACTTATTGATATTTTTCACACTCCGAGGGTTGACAATGTAATTTTCGTGTGCTGGATAAGAGATTACGGCTGCAAATTGTCATCAAAGGTGGTTTTGTATGTGGAAAGGCAATTCTTTTAATAGAAATCGTGTAAGCTCTCGCTTAACTAAAGTTAAGCATTGCTTGAACCCTTAGGAAGTTTCCTTGAAAAGTTTAACAGGAAAAGCTTGGATTGGCGTTGGTACTGCAATTATTTGCTTACTGTTTCCGATTCCTTTCGAGTACATTTCGGGCAACCCTTTGCACCAGCTGCTTGGCTTTTCTCGCAATAGTCAATCGGGCGGGGGCTGACTGCTTCTTGTTACTGTTTTATCTGTTTTTCGTGTACGCCATGCCACGCCCCACAGCCTCCAGCAGGTCCTGCCATCCACGTCCACCCTTTTGCAGCACTCATTGCTACTCATTAACCTGTGCGTGTGTGGGTGGGTGTGTGGGTGGGTGGATGGGTGCTATAAAATCCTTTTGTTTGCCAACTGACAATCGCCAGCATAGCGCCCGCTCCGCCTGGCGCATTCAGTCTTTTCATTGTTGTAGATATACGAGTATTTATTGGAGATAGTCATTGTGCTATCTTTCGCTTGATTACGGCCAAGGGATTTTTGGCACACACACACACACACACGTACTCACACCCACTTCTACTCCTTCAATTGTTTGCTGGCATTTGACCGCGTGTTTGGCACTCGCAATTTCGTAATAATCCTGACTGCCTGCCTGGTGCCTGCCTGGTGCCTGGTGCTCCCATACCATTTAAATCTGTGAGATCCACAACCACCTGCACACCACCTACCTTGGCAACCATTAAGTGGATACGCTTATTATCCTTTGTTGGCGTTGATATGTGCACAGCTCTCGCTCTCGCTCTCTCCTGCCCTGCCCTGGCTGCCTGCCTGACCTGCAAGTTCTGTGTAATTTTATTCATAAACCCAACTAGCAGGCCAGGATTAGCCCAGGGGATTCGGTTTGGCGTGGTGTGGTGTGGTGTGGTGTGGTTTCTGGGTTTGGGGCATGTTTTGTTTTTGCTGCTGGCAGTTGGCAAGACACCAAAAAACACACAGCAGGCGGCTGCATGGCTGGCTGGCTGGCTTGGCTGCTTTTGGCTTTTGTGTCAATGAATACAATAACCAAATTAAATAACCAAGGTGATGCAGCCAGGCCCATAAATCTGTTGCCTGCAGGCACAGTCGGGCCCATACAAATCGACAATTTCAAGGGGTTAGAAATGCTGAATGCTCAAATCAAACTC